TTACACTATCATTTAAACTAATTGATAATTTTGTAGATTATATTTGATGAAACATCCATAAAACGGCTATTAAGTTATTGCATAAATGCTCAAGTAGAATATGTATGAATAATACTACTAATAATGCTATAATACCATTAGTAATACATTATGTATGTACGTTTACCTATTACGGGGTATTCAATGATATTTAATTTATAGATATAACTAGAAACCTATCCCGACCTCGAACGGTTGTGAATATAGATTATATTCATAATAAAGTAACGTCTTAAAGATATATTATATCTGTTTGTATTCCTCATATTTTTTTAATTCCGTACCAAAAAAGCACGAAGGAAGTATGGTGCGACTTTGCCCGTCTGTATGTCACTGACAATATACATATATCACAGTTAGTTACTGTAAATTACTAGTTTTTAGTATTAGTATAATTACTTAGAAATATAAAATGCATTAAAACTACTAATGCATTTCTAATTTATTATTATTTATTATAATTTACTTATTGTTACATCGTTACAATTTGCACATGCAATGAAAATAATTGAAATAAATATTTTTATTTTCTTTTTTAGGGAGTGCAAAGGGGGAATTTTAAATTTCAAAATCGAGTCTAATTAAAGTGTCATGTGAAAGGGTATCGCTTGTACATTTTAAAACTGACTTTTATTTGTTTAATGCTGGGTACTTTTCGATTTATAATAGAAATCGTGGCTAAAAATTTCTTTATCTGATCTCTGAAATTTGCAAAAGAAAAAATGTAAAATAATTACAGTTTTTAAGGTTAATATTACAGATAAACTAAAACGATGTTTCTAATTAGGTGCTATACTTTGGGAAATAATTAAAATACCTCCAAAAATCAACTTAGTTATGTGGTATAGTTTTTAACCATATTTATGGTCCGAAATAATAAAATCATGAAAAATTCAAGTAAGGTAAATTTTCTTGTATTTTACTCGTATATACAAGAAGGTCTCTTGACGTATCAACTCGACAGATAGTTTTTTTTTTTTTTATTTTAGCCGACTTCAAAAAGAACGAAGTTCAGAATTCGGTTGTTATTTTATTTATGTCTGTTTGCTCATAACTCCATCAGTTGTTAACCGATTTGGGAAATTGTTTTATTTTAGATTAGTCGCATTGACATTTTATTAAAATCGAATTTATATTAAATAATATTTATATTTATTTAATTCTTAAATCAAAATAAGTGGAAGTCCCAAAATTAAAGTCTGTTTTTTAGAACACAATTTAATTATGACATATCTGTCGTTTTATTAACTCGTAATGAGACATGTTCATACATTTTTTATTTTCAGAGATACAGTTATATAAAATTTCAAAGTTGATTTAATAGAACCGATACAGATGTAGACTTTAACCCTCAAATCGTTTACAAAGAGATACAGTCACGTCTAACTAAGTATATATGAACAAATACCTACTCCTATTACTACTATATTAATAATAATAAATGTGTCGTTGTACTCATAGTTTTTTTTTTTTTATCATGGGTGAAAATGGTATGGTAACCCCGCCTACGCTAACGGGATATGCTGGCGGAGCACCAGTGAAGGGTGATAGATGAGAATGAAAACAGGCCAGTTAGCCCATCATGATGAATTCATCAAGAATTAACCATGATAGTTTCCAGGGAGAACCACGAGGAGGTCAACCTGGTTGGGTATATTGCTAGCAATGGAATTCTCAGTCTCCATTACTAACAATCCCTTTCCCCCCTGTACTCATAGTTACCAAATACTATAATGCGTTCTTTTTTAAAAGATCGTGTTGTTACCGAGAGGGTTTCAGCCCTGGCTGGCTTCAGTCAGCTCAAAATATAAGTAAATAATATAAATACTATTGCTTACTCGTATATTTGCTTATAAAATTTATGACTGAGGAGAAAGGGATTGTTAGTAATGAGGATCGGCCCCATTGCAATATCCCTTATCATCAGGTTGATCTCTCCGCGGTTCCCCCTGTCTTGGTAATTCTTTTTGAATTTGTCACGATAGGCTAACTGACCTTCTTTCATCACTCACTGGAGCCCCGCCAGCGTACACCGGTAGCGCAGACGGAGTTACCATTCCATTGTCATCCATTGAAAAAAAAGCAGTATATAACTGTACCTAATTATTACATGTAAGCAGCATGGTAGCATAATTATGTATGATTAATAGAATAGATACCTACTTACCTACTTTACTATTTATTAATTCTTAACAACGACTATTTATGTCTTCGTACTCTCTATTTGACCTTGAATTGTTGGTAAGTTACGTCTGTAAGATTGACAAAATGAATTAGATAAATACGATTTATTTTATCAAATTCACAGAATACGTACTAAGTTTAAGTGCTTCGAATATAGGTTCCACAAAAATTTGTCACGTAATGTTCTCTGACTTTGGATAATGGTACAGCGATTACCGGTTTTTTTTTTTTTATTATATCAGCCATTAATTGTCCACTACTGAACATGGCCTTCGCGATAAGGGGAATTTTGCCAGTACATAGTTGCCATGCTTGGCTGGCGAATTGGCAACTGCAGTTAAGCCTTGGTAACGTTTTAAGAGGCACACTGCTGCCTATCTCTCGAACATTAAATCCCCTTAGTCGCCTTTTACGGCAACCACAGGAAAGGAAGTGGTGGCCCATTCTATGCCGATACCACACGGTATATAACATTTATTGTACTTTTTAGTAATGGATGAAAATGTATTAGTGCCCCGCCGGTGCTATTCGGTATACACTGACGGGGCACCAGTGAACGATAATAGGTGAGAATGAAAGCAGGTAGGATCATCTTGACGAACTCAACCATTATTTATCACGATAATTTCCAGGAGGAACCGTGAAGAGGTCGACCTGATGGAGTATATTGCTAACAAGAGGGCAATTAAACAGTTACTATTAGGTACATGCATTACGGTTTATACATGATTTGTAGACAGACCTATCAATCGACACATATACAGTAGTTTTAATTAAATATATAATTTAACGGTAATAAACTTAGATTTATATTTTGTATATTAGCAAAATTAAATTCAAATAATCATATAAAATTTAACTTTTGTTTTTACTTTATTTACTCATAACCAATCATTTGTATTAGAATGTCATAGTAAGTACAAAATAAAATTAATAAGCAATACATGATAAAATAAATGAAATAAAGTACTTATGTATGATATAGTTTATAATATGAAGTATTTGTAATGTATATATATTGAAATATGTATAATAAATGATTTTTATCTATAGTATAACATTATTTGTGATGGTACCCACATAGACTACCGCTATCAATTTTACCAAATTGCGATATGTTGTGGTAAAAAATCATTCCATACATATCAACGTTGGTTTTGAATCATTCTGATTCAAGGCCAATTAACAATAGTAACAAATTTGCTGATGAATTCAATAACATTACATAAATATAATGTTAAAAATCCGTGCCTCTAATCATAAAAGCCGGCAGTTCTATAGGAAAGAGGACAAAAAATTACTACAAAAATTAGTTATTAGCGTTTTCAATTGGACTAGATTTTTTATTAATAAAAAAAGTTTTTGGCTCCTTTGAAAAATAGCAATTTTATATTATAATATTTCCCATTAGAAGCACGGAAATATTAGTGCTGGTATTAAATTTATTAAGCACCCAAATTTCAAAATAGCCGTCGTTTAAGTACTTAAGGTAAGAAATCCTTTTTGACCTTCAATATGTAAGTTTGTTAGCTTGAGGCTTACTATGGAATATAAAGATGTTTATTTTCTTATTGAGCACCTACGGAAACATTTTGTAGTTTTTATAATCATTATAATTGTCATTGTGTGTGCCGAGTCAGGCTGACTCGAATACTTACTCGGTACTCAGATACTTGAGTACTCAATATATGGAATTCGGATACGCCATAGTTGATTATGATTTCATCATTATTTTTTAATTACCAAAAGCAAAAGCACTAAATAATTAAACATTTATTATCATGTTTATTAGAAGTAGGCTTCAGAAATCAATTAAGAAAATATTCGAGTCTGATGAAATAGTCGAATACACAAGTACTCGAGCACACACACACACACACACACACACACACACACACACACACACACACACACGCGCGCGCGCGTGCACGCATAGTCTGTATTTTATTTTTTTGTTAACATTGCCTAAGTTATATACTAGAAATAAGTTTTAATGTTAAGTTTATTCTTGCACTCTATATCTTATTATTGTTATTTGTGTATTATAACAGTATTGTAAATAATACACATGTGTATATTGGTTGCCTTGTATTTGTGTAGTCCATGGAGATGGGGCACTGGTGATTTGTAACACAGGTTCTTCTAAACCTACCGCAAGCACCAGTCTCTCACAAAACTGGTCTTCATTTCAAATTGTACCTCATGTTGTTACTTTATTCCACCTTTTGTGAAGAGAAAATAAACCATTCATTCATTCATTCATTCATTCATTATTTCGGTCAAGTTCAAAGTGTATCTAAGGACTCAGGTCCTCAAATTTGAATCAAGATTTGAATCTTCTTACCAATAATTATTTTTAATACTAATATACTCAAATACCAAAATGGGCTGACTCGATACATCACTATTTTTATCTTCAATTAACTATATATTCTTATTTATGTCATCGATATATCACTCAGATAATTAACTTATTTAACAGAGTAGAAAAAGAAAAAATATAACAAGTACAAGTATATTAATACTATTTATTAGTTCTTAATTAAATAGTATCAGCTATTTGTATTATGTACATAATAGATCTCTTTTTATACACAAAAGTTATATTAATATGTATTAAAATGTAACCGAATGTATTTTTTAGATACTGTTATAAATTATCACAATTTCACAGAGATAAAGTCACGTAACTATTCAATTCGTATATACGAATGTGCAGTCCAAGAAGCAACCGAATAAATTCCACGTCGTTTCGTTTATAAAATGACGTTATTTACCTACTGCAAGTTGTCGCCTGCATTCTCGCATAGGTCGTTGAAGGTGGCGAGGCCAGAAGAGGTCAATTGAACAACAGTCACGTACTAGAAAAAAATATACAATACACGCTGAATGTTCATTATGGCAGAGTGAAATCTTTTAACCGTAAATCAAACTAAAACTCTCACTTAGGGGGAAAAACGCTCATTACATCCATTACATTACACTCATTACATTAAACATCAACCAGTAGTGTAACTGACAACTATTAAATATTATGCAGTATTGTGAAACAATGTAAAGCAAACAGCTTATTTATAATAAATAGCTTTTTTATAATAATTAAAAGTGCCTTTGTGCATTTTCTGGCTGTATTTATATTTGACGCTTTATTGCATCAATATCAATTAATGCATCAATTGAGCTCAGAGGCGGTATCGCGCTCTTAACTCTAAGGTGAGAGTTTGTATCACTTTGTATGTTCTACTGCTTGTATACCGAATTGTGTTCTGAGGAATTGTTTGGAATATGCCCACAGCCACCTTTTATCATCACACCGCTCGCCATCGATAGGGAATACATCCTCACACGCTTGAATCTAAATGGTCACATACAGTGCGGTTTCAAAGAAACTTTCTCCCTTCAAACCTTCAGACTGTGGGGGGAAAGGGATTGTTAGCAATAAAGTTTGACAGTCCCATTGAAAATCGAAACGAAATCAACAATTTTGTTCATTTCGTCACGATGGGCTAACTGACCTGCTTCATCATCACCTATAATTCCTCACTGGTGCCCCGCCAGTATACCGATAGCGCGGACGGGATTACCATTCTATAAAAACCCTCAGGCTGTGGAATGAGCTCTTTGCCGAGATTTTCCCTATAGACTACAGCAGCCTTTCCCAAAGTGGGTGATAACGCCCCCTTGTGGGCGCTGCAGGCCTAAAGGGGGGCGGTAAGGGACCCAGAAAAAAAAGCAGGCGCTAAAAATAATTTATTCTCAAACTAGGCAGTAGACAAAATAAGTTTGGGAACCCCTGGACTACAGTATAAGGTTTCCAAAAAAAACATACTAAGGTTTCTTTAGGGTCGTTAACGTGCAAGTGACACCCCTGGTGATGCAAGCGTCCATAGGCTACGGTAGCTGTTTACCAACAGACGGGCTGTATACTTATTTGCTACCTTCGTGGAATAAAAAAATTATATATTATACGAATATTTACTTAACGAGTGATGAGTGGCATCTATAACAGACAAAATTGCTACAGAAAACACATCAGTGTTGGGTAATTATTAACGCTACCTATCTAAATATTATGTAAATAATGATTTTAGATGGTGTAATACTCACAGTGAGACATCATTTAGAATTATAATTTACTTTTTTTTCATTTAAAAGTTTCCTCTTGTCGGTGCAACTAATTCATGCATCTTCCTCCAGCCAGCTCTATCCAAGGCCATATCCTTTATCTCCCTATACGACGACGTGTTTCCTTTATCTGTCCCAATTTACTATAGATCCCAAAAAAGTTTAATATGGCCTACAACTGTCTTGAGTAGGTAATTCTCTGGTGAGGTAAAAAAGAACAACACTTCTTGTTTATATATGATGTTCTGATTATTACTTACTGTATTAACAATTATGTTCAACAAAAAAAATCGGCTTCAGTTGTGGCAAAACTAGATATTTTGATTTAAAAACTAAACTAGCGAACCGATTTTAAAAACATATGTATCTATGTTTCTTCCTTTTAGATAAAAAAGAAATAAAAATAAATATCTATATCGTTTTACAACTGACTGAATTTTGAGACAACAAACATTAAAAATATATATACAACCGAATTTAGAACCTCCTTTTTGAAGTCGATTGAAAAAAAAAAACATTGTTAATTGACGACTGTAAGCTCGCACTCATTGGATTCAAATACATACTCGTATATTCAAAATTTCTAGACATGCATATTAGCACCAACTAAATTTGTAACATGAAACGTGATTTTTGATATGGTACCTAATGCTTTAGCGTTGTTATCACTAATATCCTAGTATGTACATATATCAGATATAGATTTGTTATCACATTCATTAGTACCTAAGTACTAACGGATCAGCAAGGTGTTACGATACGAATGGCATGCGTGCATAGTGGCCTATGTTATTCGATTTGACATAGTTATGATATAGCAATTTTTTTTTTTGAAAAATTATTTGTAATTATTTATGTCGGCATTACTTACGTTTTAAAATCCGGGGATGCCCGATTGATTAGTAAAACTGAAATAAATATGTCATGTTTTCAAGTCTCTTATATTTGTATCTGCATACATAATCAGATTTTTACATATGCAGGGCGAAATTGAAATGGTCAATGACATGTAATATTGAGAATGTATATCCATGATATGAAACATATATAATACATAACATTTACCAGAGAGAGATTGTACAAAAGTCGTTTGCTTGGGTATCTCTGTCCCATTTTTACCGGTTTGAAAGGTAGAATATGGCGTAAATTTTCAGGGTACAGAGGAATAACACCTGAGTCCATTAGGAATGGTAATGCATGGCGATATCATAGGCCAAGCAGTATACTCTGTTATGTCCATGGTACTTTCATCAGGTGGGCCATCAGCTTGTTTGCCATTCTAAGTTGTATAAAAAAAATTAGAACATAAATTTCATCAAAAATCCAGTTACGACAGAAAATATTGAACCTCTCATATTAACTCAGAAGCTGAATGCGTCATGTTAGTATAGATAGTTTAAATTTTATTATCGTTTTGGGACCCATATTTCTGTAATGAAAACGTTAATTTTACTGTTAAACTAATCTCTTTTCATTTTTCCTTTCTATCCTTTTTTATAATATTATTTCTCGATATTATATCCTAAGTCCGACGTGTGGCCTTGGCATAGAATAGGCCACCTCTTCCTTTCCCGTGAGTGTCATAAAAGGCGATTAAGAGAATTTAAGGGATGGACAGTAGCGTCCATCTTAAAACATCAGTAAAGCCTAATCGCAGTTACCAACCCATTTGCCAAGTGTGGCCGTTACTAGCAAAACTCCCTTTTTAGAGAAGTCCTATGTTCAGTAGTGTATAGTTATATATAATAGTTATATATTAAAGTTTTGTTGGAGAAATCAGTTCAGAGTACAATAGGACTGATATACCTGAAGAAGGTAAAAGCCCTTAAAACATTAAAAAAAAATTAATAAAATTATATCCTTACTAATGTATGAAAATTCCATTAATCATTATGTTCCTGATACGCGAACGAGATTCAAGTATTTGCTTATTCAAACTATAATAGTACTATATTATAGTTTGAAGAAACCTCTTCCCATGTTATTTATCCGAAAAATTATAATTTGTGACTTAAATTAATTTTCGAAAATTTCATAAGATGTAAAACATTTGCTACTTTATTTGTTGTACTGTTTATTAAATATAAATGCTGCGTTCATTAGGAGAATAATAAATATTTATAACTTCAGTTTACTAGAAATTCCGTAAATAGTAATAATAAATAACACATTGATTTCGATATGGTCCGCTACTTAGTTTATTTTATTAACCACGGTCATTTGGTACTTACTGATTGACGTCATTGGTTTGCTGTGATCTGAATCTGTGTTATTTGTAGTAATAAATAATATTTAATTTTATTTGTATATAACTACTGAATATTACAATAAAAATACCGTTGATGCCGTTGAGAAAGAAACAAAAGGGTTCCTTCGTTTTGTAATTCTCATAGCAACTAACATTTTGTTTTTCACACTCAGCATTCCATCTAGTGTCCGACCGAAACAGGTTTTATAGCTGAAACCGAACTTTCAATCTTGGTCTCAGTTTCGACCGAACCAAAACCGAAACTAAGGCCGAAAGTAGAATTTCTGGCCGAAACTAGTCGAAACCAAAACCGAAAGTTCGGTCGAACACTAATTCCATCTATAAAGTCCATTCTATTTACAGGTCGATTCTGAGGAGCCACTTCTCTTAACCTGTCTCTAAATTTAAAATTTCAATTTGATATAATAGCAAAATCTTTATTTTAAGAACCAATATGAATTAAATTTTAGGTCAAAATTTTTATATATTTAGTTTACGATGAAGTTGATGGTGGTCCATAAAACAGTAATATTATGAAATTATAAAATAAACGTATTAGAGATACGTTTAGACAAATGGCCTCTGCAGAATCGGCCCCATTATTATTAAATACCTAATAGCCTATATATATTTTTTGCTAGTGTCTGAAATTTCAACAATTCGTGTACATAATTTTTATGTACATAATAGCTAGTTAGGTGTGTTAAAAAGTCTTTATTCTTGATATTATATACAAGCAAATGTCGTTCGGTAATAATTTATCTTTACCTTATCACGTTATCACTGAGTTTAGTGTTATGTTTTATTAATATTATAAGCAAAGAGATATGTTTATAATTGTATATAATTACTTAAAAATTTATTACCATTTGGATATATCTGGGAGCAAGCGGAAATTCTCTGCTGAAAAAAAATTTATAAAGATTTTTCTGTATCACTATAAATCTTTAGATATTATAAAAATAGTAATATTCCATAACTTCAATAAAACTAAATACCAACTTTGGTTTTGATTAGGTATAAATCTCGTAACTTTTTAAGGCCTACATTACTTTTTTTACACAGTCTTTTTGATAAAAAAATGAAGTGTACCTACTTCTACAATATTTTTTTTCTGATGCGTGAAAATGGTTTGGTAACCCTGCCTGCGCTAATCGGATACGCTGGCGGAGCACCAGTGAAGGATGATAGATGAGAATGAAAACAGGTCAGTTAGCCCACCATGATGAATTCATCAGGAATTAACCATGATAGTTTCCAGGGAGAACCGTGAGGAGGTGGAACTGGTTGGATATATTGCTAGCAATGGGATTCTCAGTCTCCATTACTAACAATCCCTTTCCCCCCTCTACAACACATTTGGTGCTCTCCCAACGATACTAGCTTTCGTCATTATAACTTATTATATCTAACTTTAAAGGATTGCTATTTTATTTTAATTTGCATCTTATGTATTTTGTTTGCTGTCATTTACTCATTTATTTATTGATATGTTTAATATTGCGTTGTTTATATAAAGTTTGGTATCAACTTGTAAAACCAGACGATGATCTGGTTTTAAAAGAGTTTGATAACGTAGAAAATAATATTGTATGGTATAATTTCTGTGTACTGTATGCTGTAAGTGAGTATAAAGTTTACAGACTATTGATAGGAATACGCACCAATCCAATTTTAATAAACAAGTTTGCCTTGAAGCACTTATGACAGGTCAATTTTATAGATGTGCACACCGATTACCAGTTTGTGTACAGAATTCGTACGTAAATAAGATAGATAGATAAGTAGGTATTATATATATAGAAACAAGTAGCTTTCTTATTTTGTAACTTACCTATTAAATTTTTTTTGTTTGTAAACAAAGTTATTCTATGCGAACTTTCGAGTATTTTATGAAAGTAAATATTAATTTATTACTAGATATACACTTATAAATTTTCGTCTAAATACATTTTGAACTAACTTTAAAAAGAAGGAGATTCTTAATTCGCTATTTTTTTATATTTGGTACCACATAACTCCGTTAGTTGTAAACCAATTTACATTCTTTTAACTGTTTGGCACCATAGAAATTTTATCAAAATCGGTTCAGTAGTTTAGTTTTTAAATCAAAATAAATAGTTTTGCTACAAACGTAGTCGGTTTTTTGTGGAACATAATCCTTATTATTTCTTATGATCATGTCACGTAGGTTACATATCGGTAAATATCAATATATTAATTCTAAAAAGAACTTACTTTTAGACCTCACTAGATAATATTTATATAAAATTTGCTTGTATTTTATACCTTATATTAAATTTTGAAAATAAGAAACGTTGTATGGTTATATTCAATATATGTATTCATTAATTGTCATACATACATTCTCGGCCTAGAATTGCAATTACCGTAATAAATTCCATGAAGGTTGAGAAAGGCCAACAACAGTATTACCACATCGAAAAAAATTTGATTACGCTTATCTAGACGACCAACCACATACCTAACGTATATATAAATATATCGTACATATAAATATATGTAATTTACAAAAATGTTTGTTCCTTCTTTATCATTAACAAGCTGTGCCCGCAACTTCGCGTGATAGGGGTACATCGCACTATCAATATCTATATTGTATACAATAAATAATTGTTTACAATTTTTTTTTATAACACAAGGATTAAACGCTCGTACGACTCACCTTATGATGATTATCGCTACCAATAAGCCTCCGCAACATTTACTAGAGGGAGACTTTGTACAAAAGTCGATTGCTTAGATACCTCTGTCCCATTCGTGTTTCAACCGTGAAGCAGTTGTGTTTGCATGGCTGTGTTTCGGTTTGAAGGGTGGGATATGGCGTGAATTTACTGGGTACAGAGGAATAACACCTGAGTCCTCAGAAATGGCAACGCATAGGGGGTATCATGGGCGAAACAGTATACTCTGTTCTGTCTATGGTACTGCTCATGTCTATAGGCGACGGTTACCACTTTCCATCAGGTAGGCCGTCAGCTTGTTTGCCA